CCTACTAGCCATGGCCTCCAACCTACTAGCGATGGCCTCCAACCTACCAGCGATGGCCTCCAACCTACTAGCAACCACCCTACTAGCAACGGCCTCCAACCTACTAGCGATGGCCTCCAACCTACTAGCCATGGCCTACTAGCGATGGCCTCCAACCTACTAGCGATGGCCTCCAACCTGCTAGCGATGGCCTCCAACCTACTAGCGATGGCCTCCAACCTACTAGCGATGGCCTCCAACCTCCTAGCGATCGCCTCCAACCTACTAGCGATGGCCTCCAACCTAATTACTAGCTATGGCCTCCAACCTACTAGGGATGGCCTCCAACCTACTAGTGATGGCCTCCAACCTACTAGCGATGGCCTCCAACCTACTAGCGATGGCCTCCAACCTACTAGCGATGGCCTCCAACCTGCTAGCGATGGCCTCCAACCTACTAGCGATGGCCTCCAACCTGCTAGCGATGGCCTCCAACCTACTAGCGATGGCCTCCAACCTGCTAGCGATGGCCTCCAACTTACTAGCGATGGCCTCCAACCTGCTAGCGATGGCCTCCAACCTACTAGCGATGGCCTCCAACCTACTAGCGATGGCCTCCAACCTGCTAGCGATACCCTCCAACCTGCTAGCGATGGCCTCCAACCTACTAGCGATGGCCTCACACCTAATAGCCTCGACTGGGTTCTGCTGTAGGGTGATCCCGGATATCTCATAGTGACTTGAGCGTTTGGGACGAGCTTCGAGGCGAAGACAAAGCGAAGGGAGAAAACCCAAAGCAGCGAAGGCATAAAGAATGCCAGGAGCCCCCAGTAGCTTCATTCTCCTAGTAGTAAGGAATGGGTTCTTCAATGCGAATCACTAGTTCGCGCGGCTATTTGGTTTTATATTCAACACACACACACACACACACCTTGGCATGCCCATGCGGTCTGTGCCGAAAGTGTCAGTAATTCTAGCTTCCAAGTTCCTCGTTGATGTTGAAAAAGCAACAAAAAAGGGGAACACTCGAGTCGAGCTAAGCACCTTCACAGAATTGTTGCCCGCCGTGGCCAAATCCGTGCCGTCCACCAAGTAGCCCACATCAGCAGCGTACACGGACGATGGCAAAGGTGAGCCAGGAGTGTGCATGTCTGGCTGCATGGTCTCAGGGTGGTTCAGTGCATTGCCAGCTGCATTCATTGGAGTGCCATCAGGAAGATAACCAATCGAGTTGCGCAAGTTGGCCCTGGGCAACGGAGAACCTGGAGAATGAGAATCCGGCTGGATGGTCTCTGGATGGTTGATGCAGTTGCCGGCCATGTTCAATGGCGTGCCATCTGGCAAATAGCCTCAGAAACATTAAATGACGGACCCAAAAGCAAGTTTAAAGAGAACTACGTCAATCCCCACACCTATGAAGTAGGAACTGCAAGCCAAGCAACCCACATCATTGAGGTACTGTAAATCTGCGTAAGCATCCTTCTGCATGGAATAGCTGAATTTGATTCCATGCAAAGCTTCAGTGCTCGCACTTGTGAAGCTGGCTGCCACAGGCGTTGAGGATGCCACCGGTGGCGGAGATGCAACCGGAGCCGCAGCAGGCATTGTCGGTGGAGGCGCTGCCTTCACAGAATTGTTGCCCGCCGTGGCCAAATCCGTGCCGTCCACCAAGTAGCCCACATCAGCATAGTATATGGACTTGGGCAGAGGTGAGCCGGCAACGTGCATGTCTGGCTGCATGGTCTCAGGGTGGTTCAGCGCATTGCCGGCTGCATTCATTGGCGCGCCGTCAGGCAGGTAGCCGACAGAGTTGGTGAATTCAGCTCTCGGCAATGGGGAACCTGGGGAGTGGGGATCTGGCTGGATGGTCTCTGGATGATTGATACAGTTGCCGGCCATGTTCAATGGCGTGCCATCTGGCAAATAGCCTCATCTCTGCCGCAACAAGAGTGGAGGATCCTTTGTGTTTTGAAAAAAGATACTCTTATAGTGTTGTTCCAAGTCGTCCAAGCCAAGTGGCCAACATCATTGAGGTACTCCAGGTCTGCATGGGCATCCTTTTGCAAGGCATACGGGAACTTGATGCCATGCAAACCATCATTCCTGGCCACCCTGGAAGTGCGACGTGCTCGTAGCAAAACACCGGCGGCTGTGGCTACCATTGCAACCCCGTAGAAGGCAGTCCCTGTGGTCGTTGTGGACTCAGGCAATCCCTGGGATGGTTGAGACCAAGCCTTGGAATGTGTCACTCCAGTCACCTTAGTCTGCACACTTGGTGCCACAAAGCCAAGACCAGCATTGAGAATGACCAGGCTGACGGCAGCCAGTACCATTATCAAGGACAATTTCGACCTCAGCTGAGCCAGAAGCGGAAACAGAAAGTGAGAAGCGCCACATCGTTCTCGTATGTGAAATACAGCAAAGCCAGGACTCCCTCACACAGAGATCTAAGAAAACACTTCTGGCAGGAAATAAACTCAAACGACTGTCTTGCTACCAGGTTCAACAAAGCCTCTCTGCCTTTTCACCCAAGGTGCATAGTTTCTCAGATTCAAAGACGAAATTGCACTGAGGGATCACAGTCAAATCAACTTGCTGCTGAGCCAAATGAGGATTTCAAGAACAATTCCAATGAGTAAAAACGCATGACAAGGCTCAACTACGGATGGCATGTGGCAGATTTGGCCAGACATTAATGGCAGTGCTGAATCCAGAAGCATGAATAAGTATCCCTCCGGGCCTCTTCTCAAACGATTTCAACTTCCTTAGATGCATAGCTCCTAATTGAAGACGCTAAAGCCTGAGCCGAGATCAGAGCATCGACCGTGTCCAGAACATCTTCACATGATCATTCTGAACCTTCATTTCGCGGTCTCTTTCCTTTATCCTTTCCCTTCTGGCGAAATTGCTATTAGGTTGGAGGCCATCAATGGTAGGCTGCAGGCCATCGCCCCCAGTTTGGAGGCCATCGCTAGTAAGTTGGCGGCCATCACTCTTGATTTGGAGACGAGGCCATTGCTACTAGGTGGGATGCCATTGCTACTAGGTTGGCAGCCATCGCTCGTAGGGTGGAGGCCATCGCTAGTAGGTTGGAGGCCATCACTCTCGGGTTGGAGACGAAACCACTACTACTAGGTTGGAGGCCATCGCAAGTAGGTTGGAGGACACCGCTCTCGAAACTCTTCAAGTCAACAACAACTCAAGCTAACGCAGTGCACTCCCTCGCGCCCTTCTCACACTCACTTGAGCCAAAAGTAACAGTCGTCGAATGACTGTACATATGCACACTACACACAAGCAGCTCTTTACAAAAAGTTCTTAAAGACTCGAAAACGCTACAAAGCTCTTTCTGAGTTTCAAGAAACAAACTACAGTGTTACGGTCCGGCTCTCCCTTTCAGAACGCAAACCAAACAACAAAACAACAAAACCAAACAAAGCAACAAGCACGAGCGAGGTGGCCATCCGACAAATGGATTTTTTCACCCCCTCTTGGACATTTCCGCTCGGAACAACAGGCTGACATTAAGCCTCCTGGGGACAAGTAGAGGCATTTCTTCGTCTTGAAGGGCCAGGAAGGCACGCTGGTGTGATTGCAGCGTGAAGTTCCATCCTGTCTCGTAGCCGAACGTCTTGACAGTCGTCACGCCAATGGCCTCAGCGACTTGCGATAATCCTGCACGACCAGTGTAGACTTCCCAGAGGACACAAGGAGGAGCATGGTGTTCTTCTCTGAGGGTGTTGTCCACGGCGGCATTGAGAGTGTTCAGCTGGGCCTGCGATTGCATAACCAAAGGTCTTCCAGTGCTTGGTGGTCAATGGCACAGTGAAGTCGGGTATGAGGTGGTCATCCACCTGATAGAGAGCTTCCTCAATCAGGAAGTCTTCAAAGGAGCCACTGTCACCAAGTTGCTCGTCCAATTGCAGGTCGAAGTTTTTTTTTGCACGAGTACGGACGCCATGTGTGCGGTGTGCACAGGTCATCATGGGAAGGATGGAGACTCTGCATATTGGTAAGGGGAGCAGAACCAACGAAAACCAGCACAACCAACAACAACAGAACCAAACAAACACCCCCAAAACCAGCCCCAAAGGAGACCCCCTAACCAATGTGGGCAGAGTTTCGCACTGTACCAAGGTGAGATGGGTGAGACCTGAAAGATCGCTTGACTAACTAGGCGGGCCTGAATTCACGAAATTTGCCATACCGTGAAAAGAGCATTGAGCTGTTACCCTTGAAGGCCAGTCACCAGTGGCCTTCAGGAGCAGACAAGGGACGAGTCAGCCCTTGTCAGGTTAGGTTGCAAGCACTTCAGCCATGACCAAGATTCACGGAAGTTGCAGCTGGTGCGAACTGATTGCAGCACTCCTGTTTTGATCTGTTGCTCTTTGACAGTCATTATAGTTGCAATGCTGTTCTGGCCTTGGAAAACAGCCAGCATAAGAGCACAGCTATCACACACGGCTGCACTAGCAGAGGCGACTGTGGCCGGTCGATCTTAACCACACTGGCAGGGGAGGAAGCCCAGCTCATAGTTGACCTACAAGAATATGATGGTCTTCGTGAATTTGAAAATGCAGTGCTGGAACAGATTCCTGAACTTGGTACAAGCAGCACTTTCTGTGCGAGCTGGACTTTGTCTGCCGTGATTCGCAGCAGAAGTTGGTCGATCCCATTTGGCAGACCTTGAGGGACTGCAATTGTTTCACGGTCGTGGTAAGCCCTTGTGCAGAGAATGCTGAACATAAGGGGCAAATGCACTGAGAAACCAAAGCTCTACGAGTCCCCTTTCGAGCCAGTGACAGAATCTACACAAGCTTTCTCGCATCTTGCAAGGGTACGGCATGCGCAAGTAGACGCAGGTTACCGGACCATAGGAGAGTGTGCATGCACCACTGCCAACACCTCCAAATTGTGCATCTAGACCACACTGTTCGTAGCCTGCAAGCACGTGTCTTTAGCTGCTGCTATGCACTTCGCAGAGTTCTTGCTCCGGGTTGCAGAGAATTTGGAGCACAAGTCTTTGAAGAGTGCGTTGCCCTGCTGCAAGTAGGAATGAATAATAACACAGTCAACCAGCTCGCGCCGCAGGCAGAGCTAGGGCCTCGAGCCTTCTATAAATGCGAAAAACTCCGGGTAGCAACCTTACACGGTAGACTACCTACCTCCC